ACCGTGTGTGAATTGCACACACAAGCACTTTTTTATATTTAATTTTTTCATATCAATGCTTCTTTATGTTCGTTATCTCTACCTTCTTTAAAGGTTATATGACCATGAATTAGGGTATACTTTGAAATCTTAGGTACTCCGATTTTATTTATAAAATACTAGCGACTCACCCTCTACGCTCGGGTTCTTCCCTAGGTACGTTTTAACGGTTAGTATGAAATACAAATCTTTTAATTTCTCGGCTTTTCTGTACTATAATATGCATGTATTACACATATAAACCTTCCTCTTGAATCACTATCTATTGCTGAAAACTGCATTAAAATCCGCTGAGTAGTTTAAAAGGTCTAAGCGAACAGACAGCAGAAGCAACTACATTTTATGCTATGTAAAGAAAATTAGGTACCTATTTTATAGATTTCTTATTATGTGATATTCTAGTGCTTATAGATACTATAATAAATGGCTTAAAGGCCCGATCACCTGCAGCAATTTAATACAATTATGTCGATGATAAACTCACATGCACCCAGTGCGCACGTGGTTTTACTAAGGAGATCGGCTACATTAGCCATCTTCGTGCGCATCAGCGCCGAGCTGACTAGGAGTCGAAGTAGTCGCCAGGACCGAAACGGTCGGCCCAATCATCATCATCATATTCCTTCGTATTGAAGAGAGGCCCATGCCCAGCAGTGGGACATTAAAAAGGGCTGAATATATGGGAAATGGTACTATTCACATTGAACAACAAAGCCGACGAAAACAAGTAGTGAAGCGCCAGTAATATCCATAAATTATATCGTTAAATAGTAGGAAGACCACATTTCATTTATTTATCCTTGTTACATATATATACTACCAACGGGTAATTCCATAATTTTATTATATAAATAAAAACGAATTTTCGTATGTTCGTCCTCAGCGCGCTCCTAAACTATTGATCCGATTGTGATGAAACTCTGATGGGTATATTCTGTTTACATCTGCGAAGGTTCTTGATGCAAAAGAAAGAGTTTTCTTTAGACGTTTGTCTGTATATACGTTCCTAAACTATTTAAACTTAGGGACGCATCCAAACCGAATCGTAATTCGCTAGTTATCTACATATTATTATTTGATATATAACTAAAAAACTGTAGGGTTTAAAATGCTATTTTGTTAGTCATATTTAAATAACTATAGTAATATCATATAGGGACCACTCGATGGATTGATGATATGAAAATATTTTATAAAAAAAATGTTGGTAAAGCATATTGTGTATAGTTACATTTGTACTACGTTGTATTTATCATTATTTTTAACAATATCTTAAATTAGACAATAAAATAAAAAATTTGCTATTAAAATATGAAATTCGTTAAGCTGTTCTGGAGTTAAAGGATAACAAACATCCATACATGATGATGATGATGATGATGTTCTCCTAGCCGATTCCGGCCACGGCGGCCAATCTCAATGAGATTAGCCAACTGCGCAGGAGATATTATAGTGCTCAAGTGTACGCGCAGACACAAGTGCACTCTCTATTCCTATCACTCTCATACTCCGGTGGGACGACCACTCGACACGACCGGTGAGAGTTAAGGCGCAGGACCGACGGCTTTACGTGCTCTCCGAGGCACGGGGGTGAAACACCGCCAACTTCCCAACTCCGGGCTGTTACTGAGACTTACTATACAGGAAGACTCCATAACTAAACTTGGCCCTACCCGGGACTCGAACCCAGGACCTCCGGGTGTGCAACCGTACATGCTAGCCACTACACCACACACACACACATCCATACATACATACATAACAATACAAACTTTCACATTTATAATATTAGTATAGATATTGGATAATTATTATGTTTAACGTCCTTCATTATACATCTTATTCCACAACTGAAGTATATACATTCATTCATTCATTTCATTATTAACATATTACATTGATAGGTATAATAATATTACTTAATATGATAAGGAAAATCGATAAAATAAACATTCTGAGATGAGAATATTCCTAGATAGCTATTAATCATGGCGACAGCAGATATAGGTAGATCATTAAAATATAATATGACGGACTTGTTTATATTTCACTTAAAGTTCTCGACGCGTCCAGACCGTTCAAGGCTCAAGCAATTGTGTAATTTAAATAAATATATCGAAATTATTAAATAACGATAACAAGTGCCTTTCAAAAACAGTGGCTATAATAATACAAATGTAGACTATAGTGTGGGAAGTTCTTAGTGACAGACTTGGATTTGGGTTTTTTGTAATTGCGCAAGTCGAGGTAATTTTTTTCATTATTATTATTATTTTAAAATAAAATTGTTTATGAATAAAAAAATAGATCTATAGGTTTATTTAAAAAAGTCAGATCACATTTAAACCATAGATTATTTTTTTTATTTTTTTATAGAATAAAAACGAGTTTTGGTTTGCACGATATATGTATAATATAATTATGAGGTTTTAGTCCAAAATTATTTATTTAGTATTTTGTACTATTATAAATTAAAATATATTATAAAAAAATATTGTAATATATATATATTTATTTACAATATTTTCTTATTATTGTCCATAGTCCATACTCAATATTAATTAACATAATTAAATGTCTCTAAATAAATATTGTTGTGATACTCAAATGTAAATTATTATACCTGAATGACCTCACTCGTTTTTATTGATTAATGCTGTCTACTTATTATTATAGCTAGAATAAAATAAAAACCTAGAATAAAAACATAAAACTACGCTTGAATTACTTCAAAGTCCTTTAAAAAATTATTAAACATATTATTATCTTTTATAATGTGTAATGAAAACGTGAGTAAAAAATATAGCATTAAACTATAAAAGTAAAAAAAAGTAATGTTAATGCAAATTTAAAACAAACAAAGCTCAATATTTAGACTCATCTTCTATCACCACTGTCAACTGGTTGGCTTACACTGTAAATTTTGCTTAGGCATATATTATATATGAAACTTAATAAATCAATCGCATCAGGCTTTATTCATCTCGCTCGGTAACTGAACCTGCTACCTCGTGTGAAGTAATCAATGTCAATGTTTTTTGTTATGTGGCATAATTAATGTCAATCAAAGCTTAGACGTACCAATGATTAACCATGCCACTGATTGTATTGCGCTAATAAAGACCCCCAATAATAAGTAGTTTTTTTCAGATAGCTTCCATATATCTACAGACAGCAGTTATTATTTTATTTATTAGGTATATGTATAGATTATAAAGATAAAAGTTTGAATTGTTTATGTATAAGTTTTATTTTAACCAGCCAGCTAGATCTAAGAAATGCTTGAGCTGATGAGCTTGAAGCTCTTCCTTCTTGACTGTCACGTAAAGTCGAGTTCATATTTAATTATTTTGAACTAAAGAGAAAATGAAGCAGACGAAGCAATAGGCAAAAGCTAATTTAATATTAATTGGCCAACTCGTCGAGGCCGTGATGAATTCCTGCAAGGCTTAAATTCATCTCATTCTCTCGTAGGTCACTTTTCTGTAGTTCATTTCTACCTACCGTGTGTGAATTGCACACACAAGCACTTTTTTATATTTAATTTTTTCATATCAATGCTTCTTTATGTTCGTTATCTCTACCTTCTTTAAAGGTTATATGACCATGAATTAGGGTATACTTTGAAATCTTAGGTACTCCGATTTTATTTATAAAATACTAGCGACTCACCCTCTACGCTCGGGTTCTTCCCTAGGTACGTTTTAACGGTTAGTATGAAATACAAATCTTTTAATTTCTCGGCTTTTCTGTACTATAATATGCATGTATTACACATATAAACCTTCCTCTTGAATCACTATCTATTGCTGAAAACTGCATTAAAATCCGCTGAGTAGTTTAAAAGGTCTAAGCGAACAGACAGCAGAAGCAACTACATTTTATGCTATGTAAAGAAAATTAGGTACCTATTTTATAGATTTCTTATTATGTGATATTCTAGTGCTTATAGATACTATAATAAATGGCTTAAAGGCCCGATCACCTGCAGCAATTTAATACAATTATGTCGATGATAAACTCACATGCACCCAGTGCGCACGTGGTTTTTACTAAGGAGATCGGCTACATTAGCCATCTTCGTGCGCATCAGCGCCGAGCTGACTAGGAGTCGAAGTAGTCGCCAGGACCGAAACGGTCGGCCCAATCATCATCATCATATTCCTTCGTATTGAAGAGAGGCCCATGCCCAGCAGTGGGACATTAAAAAGGGCTGAATATATGGGAAATGGTACTATTCACATTGAACAACAAAGCCGACGAAAACAAGTAGTGAAGCGCCAGTAATATCCATAAATTATATCGTTAAATAGTAGGAAGACCACATTTCATTTATTTATCCTTGTTACATATATATACTACCAACGGGTAATTCCATAATTTTATTATATAAATAAAAACGAATTTTCGTATGTTCGTCCTCAGCGCGCTCCTAAACTATTGATCCGATTGTGATGAAACTCTGATGGGTATATTCTGTTTACATCTGCGAAGGTTCTTGATGCAAAAGAAAGAGTTTTCTTTAGACGTTTGTCTGTATATACGTTCCTAAACTATTTAAACTTAGGGACGCATCCAAACCGAATCGTAATTCGCTAGTTATCTACATATTATTATTTGATATATAACTAAAAAACTGTAGGGTTTAAAATGCTATTTTGTTAGTCATATTTAAATAACTATAGTAATATCATATAGGGACCACTCGATGGATTGATGATATGAAAATATTTTATAAAAAAAATGTTGGTAAAGCATATTGTGTATAGTTACATTTGTACTACGTTGTATTTATCATTATTTTTAACAATATCTTAAATTAGACAATAAAATAAAAAATTTGCTATTAAAATATGAAATTCGTTAAGCTGTTCTGGAGTTAAAGGATAACAAACATCCATACATGATGATGATGATGATGATGTTCTCCTAGCCGATTCCGGCCACGGCGGCCAATCTCAATGAGATTAGCCAACTGCGCAGGAGATATTATAGTGCTCAAGTGTACGCGCAGACACAAGTGCACTCTCTATTCCTATCACTCTCATACTCCGGTGGGACGACCACTCGACACGACCGGTGAGAGTTAAGGCGCAGGACCGACGGCTTTACGTGCTCTCCGAGGCACGGGGGTGAAACACCGCCAACTTCCCAACTCCGGGCTGTTACTGAGACTTACTATACAGGAAGACTCCATAACTAAACTTGGCCCTACCCGGGACTCGAACCCAGGACCTCCGGGTGTGCAACCGTACATGCTAGCCACTACACCACACACACACACATCCATACATACATACATAACAATACAAACTTTCACATTTATAATATTAGTATAGATATTGGATAATTATTATGTTTAACGTCCTTCATTATACATCTTATTCCACAACTGAAGTATATACATTCATTCATTCATTTCATTATTAACATATTACATTGATAGGTATAATAATATTACTTAATATGATAAGGAAAATCGATAAAATAAACATTCTGAGATGAGAATATTCCTAGATAGCTATTAATCATGGCGACAGCAGATATAGGTAGATCATTAAAATATAATATGACGGACTTGTTTATATTTCACTTAAAGTTCTCGACGCGTCCAGACCGTTCAAGGCTCAAGCAATTGTGTAATTTAAATAAATATATCGAAATTATTAAATAACGATAACAAGTGCCTTTCAAAAACAGTGGCTATAATAATACAAATGTAGACTATAGTGTGGGAAGTTCTTAGTGACAGACTTGGATTTGGGTTTTTTGTAATTGCGCAAGTCGAGGTAATTTTTTTCATTATTATTATTATTTTAAAATAAAATTGTTTATGAATAAAAAAATAGATCTATAGGTTTATTTAAAAAAGTCAGATCACATTTAAACCATAGATTATTTTTTTTATTTTTTTATAGAATAAAAACGAGTTTTGGTTTGCACGATATATGTATAATATAATTATGAGGTTTTAGTCCAAAATTATTTATTTAGTATTTTGTACTATTATAAATTAAAATATATTATAAAAAAATATTGTAATATATATATATTTATTTACAATATTTTCTTATTATTGTCCATAGTCCATACTCAATATTAATTAACATAATTAAATGTCTCTAAATAAATATTGTTGTGATACTCAAATGTAAATTATTATACCTGAATGACCTCACTCGTTTTTATTGATTAATGCTGTCTACTTATTATTATAGCTAGAATAAAATAAAAACCTAGAATAAAAACATAAAACTACGCTTGAATTACTTCAAAGTCCTTTAAAAAATTATTAAACATATTATTATCTTTTATAATGTGTAATGAAAACGTGAGTAAAAAATATAGCATTAAACTATAAAAGTAAAAAAAAGTAATGTTAATGCAAATTTAAAACAAACAAAGCTCAATATTTAGACTCATCTTCTATCACCACTGTCAACTGGTTGGCTTACACTGTAAATTTTGCTTAGGCATATATTATATATGAAACTTAATAAATCAATCGCATCAGGCTTTATTCATCTCGCTCGGTAACTGAACCTGCTACCTCGTGTGAAGTAATCAATGTCAATGTTTTTTGTTATGTGGCATAATTAATGTCAATCAAAGCTTAGACGTACCAATGATTAACCATGCCACTGATTGTATTGCGCTAATAAAGACCCCCAATAATAAGTAGTTTTTTTCAGATAGCTTCCATATATCTACAGACAGCAGTTATTATTTTATTTATTAGGTATATGTATAGATTATAAAGATAAAAGTTTGAATTGTTTATGTATAAGTTTTATTTTAACCAGCCAGCTAGATCTAAGAAATGCTTGAGCTGATGAGCTTGAAGCTCTTCCTTCTTGACTGTCACGTAAAGTCGAGTTCATATTTAATTATTTTGAACTAAAGAGAAAATGAAGCAGACGAAGCAATAGGCAAAAGCTAATTTAATATTAATTGGCCAACTCGTCGAGGCCGTGATGAATTCCTGCAAGGCTTAAATTCATCTCATTCTCTCGTAGGTCACTTTTCTGTAGTTCATTTCTACCTACCGTGTGTGAATTGCACACACAAGCACTTTTTTATATTTAATTTTTTCATATCAATGCTTCTTTATGTTCGTTATCTCTACCTTCTTTAAAGGTTATATGACCATGAATTAGGGTATACTTTGAAATCTTAGGTACTCCGATTTTATTTATAAAATACTAGCGACTCACCCTCTACGCTCGGGTTCTTCCCTAGGTACGTTTTAACGGTTAGTATGAAATACAAATCTTTTAATTTCTCGGCTTTTCTGTACTATAATATGCATGTATTACACATATAAACCTTCCTCTTGAATCACTATCTATTGCTGAAAACTGCATTAAAATCCGCTGAGTAGTTTAAAAGGTCTAAGCGAACAGACAGCAGAAGCAACTACATTTTATGCTATGTAAAGAAAATTAGGTACCTATTTTATAGATTTCTTATTATGTGATATTCTAGTGCTTATAGATACTATAATAAATGTTTCCAAACTTGTATATTAACTTTTCAAATTGTGGTCCGCCATAGCCAAGAATATAATGTTCAAACCACAGAAAATATTGAATGACCAGCGATCTATGTTACTATAGCTAACGTGTGATAGCAATTGTTAAACGTACAAGAACAAGATAAAAATTATAATTTAGAAAATAAAAATTTTAACTGTACTAAGTCAATGAAAAGTTCCGCTCCCCATCTTCTAGCATCATGATTATATCAAAGTATTTTATTCAATTCAATTATTTTGTTAATGGCTTCGAAGCGTGCTAGTTGAGCACAGAGTACTTCGCTAATGTCACATAGCAGGGAGATGGGTCGGTAATTATATTGTTGTCCTGTCATAAAAAGGACAGGTGTGGGTTTATTTGTATGGTCTCATATTATGTTTAGTTTTTAACTAGCAAAACCCGCGGCTTCGCTCGGGCTTAAACTAAATTATAAATAATTAATACAGAAACATCGCTCGCCCGCAAGCCCTGCGCCACCCTGCGCGTCATGTGCTCGTCTATCATGCTGTGTAGGATTTTCGAAGCCCTATTTGACTCTATTGGGAGATGATTTTGGAAAAACTGTGATACACGTGTCTCATAATTTTAATTGTAGAGTATGTGTACCAATTTTCAAGTCAATCGACCCAGAGTATAAAAAGTTTCACAGAAAATTCACCCCCCATTTCACCCTCTTAGGAGTGGAATTTCAAAAACTTTTTCTTAGTAGATACCTTCCTAAAATGCACAAAGAACACACCCTCCAAATTTCATGTCTCTAGGACAGTCAGTCAATCAGTCAGGACTTTGAATTTTATATATACAGAATATATAAATAAAACTTTTCATGACTCATTTCGAACATGATTACCACTTGTCTTACGATGAAGGAAAACATCGTGAGGAAATCAGCATGCCTGAAAGAACCTAACAAGTTTTCGAAAGACATATATAGTCCGCCAACCCGCACTTGGCCAGAGTGGTGGACAAGCACAAAAAAAAACAAAAAACAACAGCTGCACAATAAAATAAAAACCAATAATGTTTTTGTCAAGATAAGCAAAAATCCAATATAAAATCTGATTTTAATTTATTTAAATCGATATCCGTTATCCAAATCGCGCTATCTTCTCACGGAATAACTTGATCTCACTTTGGCGATGCTTGTATTTTATTAAAAGTCACATTCTTATAGATAGAGAAATCCTTTTAGAGAGTAGTTTTGTTAGGATTTAGACACGTTACGTTTTTTTTCTGTAGATTATACCTAATCTTACTAGTATTATAAACTAGCGACTCAACCTCGCTTCGCTCGGGTTCGTCCCTAGGTACGTTTTAAGGTTAGTATGAAATAGAAATCTTTGAATTTCTCGGTTATTTTGTACTATAATATATACATGTATTATACATATAAACCTTTCTCTTGAATCACTCAATCTATTAAAAAAAAACGCATCAAAATCTGTTGCGTAGTTTTATAAATCTAAGCATACATAGGGACAAACCAACAGCGGGAAGCGACTTTGTTTTATACTATGTAGTGATATGAAAGTTTAGATGTTTGGTTGTTTGGATGGATGTTTGTTACTCAATCACACCAGAACGGCTGAATGGATTTGGATGAAATTTGGCACAGAGATAAATTATAGTCTGGAATAGCACATAGGCTACTTTTTATCCCGGAAAAATGTACAGTTCCCGAGGGATAGATTTGTTCTTCTTTATATATGAACATAAGTTTTTAAGTTTAAAGTTATGAAGTGACATGTCTATTTTATTTTTACTAGGGATTTACCCTTCATTCGCTCGCGTGCATTCTTAGTTGCACAGTTGCTATCTGTGTACTAATTTTCATCCAAATTTGTTCAGCAGTTTTGAAGTAAAGCTGTATCACAAACACATACAAATTATTACAAACTTTCGTATTTATAATGGTAATCCCTTTACTAACAAATAAATTTATTAAATATAGGATTAAAATATTGTTATCTTTCCAAAGATTTCGATCGGATTTTCTTAAAGTATTCCAATACACATTAAACTGTTTAATATTTATTATTTATACTCAGCAACTAATAAATTGAAAATGTATCCAAGCTACAAAAACTGGTTCTCTAAGTGGCATGAAACGACTGCGTGATCGTATTTTTTTTGACTGAGAATTAAGATAACCAGGATAAGGATTATTGAAATTAGATGCTGGTTTGGAAATCATGATAGAATGGTTTGTAGCTCGGAGGTCCTGGGTTCGAGTCCCGGGTCAGGCCAAGTTTAGTTATTGGGCCTTTCTGTATAGTAAGTCTCAGTAACAGCCCGGAGTTGGGAAGTTGGCGGTGTTTCACCCCCGTGCCTCGGAGAGCAGGTAAAGCCGTCGGTCCTGCGCCTTAACTCTCACCGGTCGTGCCGAGTAGTCGTCCCACCGGAGTATGAGAGTGACAGGAATAGAGAGTGCACTTGTGTCCACTACGCTGGCCAAATGCGGGTTGGCGGACTTCACATGTCTTTCGAAAACTTGCTAAGTTTTCTCAGACATGCAGGTTTCCTCACGATGTTTTCCTTCACCGTAAGGCAAGTGGTAATCGTGTTAGAAATGATTCGCACATGAAAATATCAGAGGTGCAAGACCCGGGATCGCCATTATATTTAATTCTAATTAGCATCTCGACTACGTATTCATCTTTTATTCAGTAGTTTTCTCTAAAGGATAGAAACACCGACCCCCCCCCCCCCCCCATTTAAAAATGCAGATGAGTACCTTCTAGTTATACAATACATACTTATATCAAAAAAAAAATAAAAAAATATTTTTGTTCATATGATTGTCTTTTTAATTTGATTTCAGCTGACGGAATTTTAATTAAAAAACCGTTCTCAATCCGCTTGCCAATACAAGTTTGTTTTTAAAATTAAAAACAAAGCAAAATACTGTGTTTTTATCATCACCTTGCCCTCTGCACTTACTGTAATTATGTCTATAAATTCCATTTTATGTTAGCAGTGGATACAGCATCCTTTTTATATACACCGTTATTTGATCGATAAGACGGTTACATTAAAATTTCCTTGTAAACTTCTTTAGGTTTTTTGATGTCTTATCTGCGGTAAGCTATCCAACATTGTAAATAAACAAATCTGTACATATAATAAAACTAGCATTGCCCGCGGCTCCGCCCGCGTTCAGATGACCATGACCAAATTCTTAGGTTTTACATATTAGTATACTCTAACATTGCAGTTTTTGTATTTTTTCTCAGAAATGAGATATGTTCCCGCGGTAAAAAGTATCTTATATGTTGACCCGGATAACCAGATAGCACCATACCAAATGTCATCAAAATTCCTCCAGTGGTTTTTCTGTGATGCGGTAACAGACAGACAGACAAAAATTCTAAAAACCGTAGATTTGGCCTCTGTTTCGATAATAATGTTTATTTCAATAAAATTTTCCAAACAATATCTAATGTACAGATTCGGCTTAATTACAATTTTATTATATGTATAGATCTAATAATATCGATATTTTGTCTTTTAGAAAAAAGTATAATTGTTTTCATTACACACAGTTATTTAGAAAAAAAAAGATTTTTGCTCTACAACACTATCGTACGGAAATAAATCACAAGATTTTATACTTTTATAGATACCTGGGCCGAAACGAAATATAAATAAATTGATGTTTTTATTTCAATTACTTAAAAGATATGAAACAGGTTATCTAAAAACTTCCTTTAATATCGATAATATTAGAAACACTGGAAAATTTAATATAATTAAACTCACAATATGCGGTCAAAATTTTCCATTTATAACGATGTTATAAGTATCTTGATATTTTTCTCACGTCGTGTCATTGATGTAACGTAATACAGCCTAAATTCCTCATGAATATACATTTTGTAAAAATAAATCCATATCCATATTAATATTATAAATGTGAAAGTGTGTTTGTTTGTTTGTCCTTCTTTCACGTCGAAACGGAGTGACGGATTAGGGTGATTTTTTGTTTGAAGATAGTTGGAGGGCTGGAGAGTGATATAGGCTACTTTTTACCGCTGGAGATTATCTCAATAACACGGCGAAAAAGCAATTATAAATTATAATACAACCCAAAAAATAATGTATGATCAGAATTACTTGAAAGTTGGTATTAATGATCTTCAAAACAATTAAATAAATACGTGTTTTAGCATTTTTCGTAATGAATCCCATGAGGGGGTAAAATAAGGAATGAAAGTTTATATGAAACCTACCTTTTTAGAGTTTTTTTGTAGTTATAGCGCGAGCGAAGCCGCGGGTTCTCCTAGTCTATATATAAATAGCATGTACAATTAAATTTAAAATCAAAAAACATATTAAAATAGGTTATAGAAATTATGTGTAGTTAATATATATTTTAATATTACATACTTTATTAGGCCAGAGAGTACTCGTACGTTGAGTGATGTCATGACATGTCAGCTAATGTATAAATAATCTTCCCGCCAATAACATGTTAACGCCACTTTAGATAGATACAATTCAAGCCATCTGATAATAAAATGATCTCGATATATCAACTAAGTACTTTATATTGTTACAGATTATCATCTCTAAAATGTCTTTTAAAGTGCTGTCTTTAATATTATTGTAATGGCTGATTAATTCGTAATTATTAAATACTTTCTTAGATATAGGTGAATATTTAATATCTATACATAATATAATAAAAAAAATTAAGCCGACTTCCAGACACTAAAATGTAAAAAATAACTAAACGGGGGTTTTCATTTAGAATAGATACCTAACAGATATTTTCGAAGTCAGCCGACGCATAGGAAATCTAATATATTTTGATACGTAAAATACATATTTACCTATTAGATATTCATATCTTATAATAAAATATTGTCCAGTGGCACCGACTTCGAAAATATCTGATTAGGTATCTATTGTAAATAAAAACCCTCATTTCGTTATTTTTTACATTTTAGTGCCTGGAAGTCGGTTTTTTTTTTTAAATAAGATTTTATTTTTATATTTTTAGTGTAGACGTAATAAGCAGGTAATTTGTAGGAAGAAAGTTTTTAATAACATATTCGATCAAACAATTTGTTTGAAAAAATATATTTATTATTGATTTTTTTAATAACCGCTCGACCGATTTCGATAAAAATTTATATGGGACCACCTGGGAAGTATACCCTTGCAAACAAAACAAAAATTTTCCAAATCGGTTCAGGCGTCTTCGAATAATCGGTGAACATACATAAAAAATAAAAAAAAGATTCCGACGAATTAAGAACCTCCTCGTTTTGTAAGTCGGTTAATAAAAGTTCAAAATAGTTTAATTAGTGTAAAATATTTGAGAAAACTATTACTTATTGGGGGGTCTTTATTAACGCTATAGAACCCAAAACGATGATTTTTAGAAATTTTGTCTTTATCGGTTTGTCTGTGTGTTTGTTCGCACTAAAAACGAAACGGCTTAACCGATTTGGGTGCGGTTTTCACTAATGTATTGTGATAAGCTTCACTTCAGCTTTATTTCAATCGGTTCATAAATAAAAAAATATGTCAATTTAAAGAATCACCAAGTTTTTAATGAAACTGTTTTTGCAGATTATTAAAAAAAATTGTTCCAGATATTATGAATGCTTTACTATTAATTTCTCACCGTTTAATAGTTGTTATCTAGTAATAAAAAAATAAAGCAATTAATATAATACAAATTTCATTGGAAAATACAAAATCATAAATTAAAAAAACGGAGATCAGAGAGAAATATCATACGTTCTAGCTGTCTGGAGAAAAACGTGTGTATTTGTGTAATTAAAAAAGTAAATTAATTAAAAGCATTCGTTGAACAACAACACTGCGTGATGTCTATCTGGCCATTTTATTGGCAGAAACTGAATTTCAATTAAATTATACTACCAGTGGGTGGTCCTAAAGTTTACTTATCCCGGTACTATAAGGAAGTTTTTACTACAAACAACTTGCGCCCATTTTATGAGATGATTCGTCTACGCGTTCACATTTGGGCAGAAAATCGATATCGTTATTTAACATCTGTCAGTTTAAAAAAAATGATTACAATAAAAGTTTTTATTTAACTTTACATGTATGAGAAGTTGTAATCTTTCAAGATTTTGAATTTGACCCTCTTCCCATAATTTCACGCATTTAAAACTGTTTGACAATAAACTAAAATAATAGAAATAACCTGATGCTGCGGGCTGTATTGTCTCTTCATGAGGGACTCGTGTTTGCGTTCTTAAGTTTCTTTTTTACGACAAAAAGCAATGTTCTTCTCCAAGGTCCCATCCATCTCTATACCAAAATTCATCAAAATTGGTTAAGCTGTTTAGGCGTGACAACGTATTTTATAAGTACCTATGGATAACCACGTACAACTCAAACCGTAGTTGTTTTTCATTGGCATATTAATGTGCAACTTAGTAAATGCCTATGTAAAATCCGGATATCAACAGGATGATATGAAAATATCGAACTGGTTTGATTTTACGACCAGCAGGTGGGTAATGGAACTATTTATAATATAATTTTTTTATATTATAATACTATATATATTATAATTATAATACTTCGTAAAATCGTTGAATTAGAGTCAATTTCTTTCATGCTGACAAATTCCATACAGTACTTACACGAAAACGTGTTTTTAGTTCTTTTTATTATTTACCAGCGGCTCACCCTCGCTTCGTTAGGGCTCGTCTCTAGCTTGCTTCCCAATCCAAAATTTCACCCCCATTTTCAACCCCTTATGGGATGATTTCCGGGATAAAAAGTATCCTATGTCCTTCCCACGGCCTCAAACTATCTTCCTACCAAATTTCATCTAAATCGGTTCAGTAGATCCAAAGATTACCTACCCTAAAGATTACCCTATAACGTCACAAACTCACAAACTTTACCTCTTTATAATTAATATTATATTAAATACTATACTAATGTATAGATTATGATTTTTTTATATTTCTTTCTAGATGGTGAGTAATTTGAAAGAGCTGGCGGTACAGTTGTTCGACGCGGGGGCCGTGAGACTCGGAGACATCGAAGCGAAGGTGGGCCGCCGTACACCGATATATTTTGACTTGAGGATCGTCGTGTCACATCCAAAAATTATGGTAATTGTACATAATGTAATAAATCTACAAGTTATAAAAAGCATATATTAAGTAAATAACCAATTTTCACCTTTAAATTCACTTGAAAGGTTCATCGATTAAAATACATTTTATGGAATTGATTTCGTATTGAGATTATTTCCGATTTATAAATGAGCAATGATAACAATCATTTTTTTTTTAATTTTAAATCTTATGGCATGGACAACTAATAATAAATTAACATTAGATATTTGAAAATAAAACACATTTTATACAAAAGTAGATATTATTAGAACAATTTAAACTCTCAAAATACCATTTATCATTGTCACAACATTAAAGTTGGTATACTTGTTCCCTTTGATTGTAAATTTTAAAATATATCCCATGTTAAATTCAGATGGCCATCGCGAAGGAACTACAAGTGTTAGCGTCGGATATAGACCACGACATCCTGTGCGGCGTCCCGTACGCCGCGCTCCCCTTCGCAGCCGTCATGTCCGTCAACACCAACACCCCCATGATCATGAAGAGGAAGGAAACCAAGCTATATGCAACTAAGAAAATTCTCGAAGGCGTCTACAAACCTAAACAAAAATGCCTTGTTATAGAAGACGTAGTGACATCTGGCGGGAGTTTGCTCGAAACTATTAATACTCTGCGCAACGAATTATTATCTGTGACGCACGCCGTCGTAGTTCTTGACAGGGAACAAGGTGGCGCCAATGTGCTTAAAGCAAATGGCGTCCACGTTAAAGAAATTTTTACAATGACCGAATTAATTAAAATATTAAGAGATGCCGGCAGAATTACACATGAAACTTTTGAAATTGTCTCCGATCACATAAGAGAGTGCCAGTTCGGTATGACCGATAACTTTGAGCAATGACTTAATGTCAATTATTAAGTATTTAGAATGTAACAAGTTGCTTATGTACTTATTTATATTATATTTCTATTTGATAAGTAGAAGTTATTAGATAAATTATAAGATATTTCAATAAATAATATGTGAGATGTGAGAGTAATTAAAAATACATTTTAGACATAGACTACTTAGTTTTTTTCACATTATCAATTAATAGAAACCACTTCCACATACTTAGGTATATTATTAAAATTAATCATTCATTTAATTTTGCAGTATCAGCATTGATTTTAGAATAAATATTTAATTAGACTGATATGTATATAATCAGCTTCATAGCTTTTAAATAGGTAATATGTAAATTGATCAAAAACCTCAAGAGGTTCTCAGTATGTTATGATCATTGATCTATTTCAATTTTAAGAACCTAGGTATATCTATTTCATAGTTATAATTAATCTATACTACTTATTGTAAACGATAATCCATATTACAATAGTTAAAAGTACTTTTATTATAGCCCGTTATCCATTTACCAAGGAAATGGCGGCTCCGACGTGTCCGGTGCTCTGTGCATGCAAATGTCTATTTAATTTGCATTAACGCTATATATAACTGTTTACATTAGCTGTAATAAGTGATAAATTAAAAATTTTAAAAACCCCCGACCATCTTGAACCGATTTTCATTAAACATAGCTAAGAAGCTATATCATCTAATTCACCTTTCGAATAAAAAGAACTAAATCAAAATCGGTTCATCCGTTCGGGACCTACGATCTCACAGACAGACATACACACAGACGTCAAACTTATAACAACCAGTCGTTTTTGCGTCGAGGGTTATAAATCAGAAATTATCTGGGTAAGTTATATACTTCTTTATTTACTTTTATATACATACAAATAATTTAATAAGTAACAGTAATTATATAAAAGCATTCAATTTTTTTTAAATACTACTAGATCGTGTAGACTTCTAGCAAATTTACGTAGAAAGTTTTAAAATGAGCTAGCAGATTATCGTCGAGTGCAAAAAATTTGAATGTACTCAGCGTTTAATTTACTTTTTCATATTCATAATGATATTTAGTATCAGATAGAAAGTAGATAATTGTGGTTATTTATAGATAGAAAATCTCATTAATTTAATAACATCTTCTTAAAGTAGGTCGATGTAATAAAATATTGACAATTATTATTATCATAAAAGAACAATATTAATTATAAGTTTTATCAAGCGTCTAGTTACTGGAAGGAACAAATAAAACAACATGTAAAATCATTGTAGTTTATTATTCACCAGCTGGAATATAATAATTAAAAACTTTGATCGACTTCGAAAAATTGTACGACATTGTTATTAGCTTTTTCGTTCAAAAAGCCAACGTAAACTCAATCACACTGGTTACAAAGATTAAAAATTAACTTAGGTATTAAAAAAATCATGTTCAGCCTTATCAAACAAAAGATCTTCTTTTGTGTCATCAGTGTATTCAGCACCGCGGGGTGGTCAGTGAAGGGGTCACGTCTTAAGGGATCAGCTGTTTATACCAATAAACATTCCAGAGAGCGCCCTTCCGTCGAGAAAACACTGGGAATGTTAATACTATGCGCGACATCAGAACGTCCTCTATGTTGGGGAACTACCAGAACTGTTAGAAACTTGTATAAAACTACTGAAGCGAAAACGAGAAAGTCCCGATTAGGACAAGGAAAGGGGGTGGTGAGTGTGATGGGGAGAGGGAGTGAGTGCATTTAGTTCTCATCAATCTCCTGCTCCTGCTCTTCGTCGAACTCCGCGTCCTCGTCGGCGGTCGCCTCCTGGTACTGTTGGTACTCGGAGACCAAGTCGTTCATGTTGCTTTCCGCCTCGGTGAACTCCATCTCGTCCATACCCTCGCCAGTGTACCAATGCAAGAAAGCCTTGCGCCTGAACATAGCGGTGAACTGCTCAGAGATGCGCTTAAACAACTCCTGGATGGCGGTGGAGTTGCCGATGAAGGTGGCGGCCATCTTGAGACCACGGGGCGGAATGTCGCACACGGCGGTCTTGACGTTGTTGGGGATCCATTCGACGAAGTACGACGAATTCTTGTTCTGGATGTTAAGCATTTGCTCGTCGACCTCCTTCATGGACATGCGTCCACGGAAGATGGCGGCGACGGTGAGGTAGCGGCCGTGGCGTGGGTCGCAGGCCGCCATCATGTTCTTGGCGTCGAACATCTGCTGGGTGAGTTCGGGTACGGTGAGAGCGCGGTACTGCTGGCTGCCCCTGGATGTGAGGGGAGCGAATCCGGGCATGAAGAAGTGGAGACGCGGGAAGGGTACCATGTTCACAGCCAGCTTGCGGAGATCCGCATTCAACTGACCGGGGAACCTGAGGCAGGTGGTCACTCCGGACATGGTGAGCGACACCAGATGGTTAAGGTCGCCGTACGTGGGTGTGGACAGTTTGAGCGTGCGGAAGCAGATGTCATAGAGAGCCTCGTTGTCGATACAGTAGGTTTCATCTGTGTTTTCTACGAGCTGGTGGACTGATAGTGTGGCGTTATAAGGTTCGACTACTGTATCTGACACTTTAGGCGAGGGTACAACTGAATACGTGTTCATAATTCTATCGGGGTATTCCTCTCTAATTTTGGAAATAAGGAGTGTTCCCATACCGGAGCCGGTGCCGCCACCGAGGGAGTGTGTGAGTTGGAAACCTTGGAGGCAATCGCATGACTCGGCTTCTTTACGTACAACGTCTAAAACAGAATCCACAAGCTCGGCGCCTTCAGTGTAATGTCCCTTGGCCCAGTTGTTACCGGCGCCAGACTGTCCGAACACGAAGTTGTCGGGGCGGAAGATCTGTCCGAAAGGTCCAGAGCGGACAGAGTCCATGGTGCCGGGCTCCAAGTCCACGAGGATGGCGCGGGGCACGTACTTGCCGCCGGAGGCTTCATTGTAGTATACATTGATACGCTCCAGCTGCAAGTCCGAGTCGCCATGGTAGGCACCAGTGGGGTCGATGCCATGCTCGTCAGAGATGATTTCCCAGAACTGTAAAAAAAAATAAAAGTGATTTTACACCATATAATGTATGTAATATATAAATTGAGCATTACTATTCAGAGCGTGGGATATAATTCGCTATAAAAGTAGCAATAAAGGGGAGAAAACGCAACTGGAACCACTTAGCGACAGTGACTCATCGGTTCGGTCGCCGAGCAACACTTAGCGATACAAACCTTTCCTTGTACGGCTGAATTTTAATATTTACGAGGCCGCTTTATTTTTCAAATTTATTGATTGAAATGCAATAAAAATAAACTATTGAATATGTTTGGGTGATCAATATTTTATGTTAGCTTTATATAAGGCGTATTTTATTTAGAAAAAAAAAGAAACTAACTCTAAGGAGCCCAAATCTACTTTCCAACAACTTATCCGCTGTAATGAGTACAGGCAGACGTTTATAAATATTCAGTGTTTCAAGAATGCCATATAAGAGTGAATGCAAACGAGTTTCTGCCTTCCCTTCAGTACACATCAAGTTGATTGTAGGCGTTATTGTATGCATAATCTACCAATAACCATATTGTAGAGACGTAAAGCCCACATAGAAGGGCCTTTCGACGTATAGAAATCCGTGAGATATAACAGCAGTAAATATAAATGATGAGAAAAAGATTGAAGATAACTATTATCGCGGTAAAAGCTAATGTACATTTAGAAAGGTGGGCCGTTACTATGACAATAGTCAATGGGATCAAAATTTGAATTGTGCTGTAACACGAAGACAAGTATTATTTGGAAAGTCATCACTCAAATATTACAAGATAAAAATTGCTTATAAAGCAGTCGGTCGACGACCTTGCATATCGCAGATTTGATTCCTACGCAGGTATTTATTTATTCAGATGTCTAAAATAGGTAGAAAGTAGACAACAGAGTGCGTCATGTTCAAACTTGTGTACACCCAAAATATTATTTTGCAAGCAAATTGCTAATACAACCTTGAATTTTATTCAATCTTTTTCATGAGTCATAAAGCCATAAACAAAAAAGGTGCGAGAGCTAACGATCTACAGATTTGGTATTGGTTATGTATTCTATTCTTTTAGAAACAAGTTTATGGTAGTCACAGATTATGATTAATGAAAATAGCTTAATTAATAATAAATCGAGTACAATGACTTCAAGATAAAAAAATTATTTCTTATTTGTGCGTTTTGGTGATGAATACGCAATTAAAACGTTTTTTTTTCTTTATTGGCTTAGAGATGCATTAACAAAGTTGTTTTAAAATTTGTGTTATATTTGACTTAACTACTTATAAAAAACTGACTCATTCTATGAACAACCGTTTGACGATAGTTTAGCACTTCAAAAATAATTCATTGTAGACATACAGAAAGAAAATGCTCATTTTAAATAACTTGCTTAAAGTGAAAATTTGATTTAGTTAAAAATAAAGTACCTACACACGATAAAATCGTAATTCGAATGTTATCACTCCAAAGACGTGTAAACGGGTTTCTTTAAGGATTGTGATATCACAGCTGTTTTAGTTGTTGGACGAGTGCCAATCTGGAGAAACTATATCATTTTGTTGAAGCATTTTACTTTAAAACATTTCACTGCATAAAAGTTAAGTGGCTGAAGTGGAATGTATTACGATTTATGGAAAAATTTAGTGGTTTGAGCTATACATATAATAAAATTTTAACGAAGCCAAATCTGTACATAAGATATTTTTTGGAAATCTTATTGAAATAAACATTATTATCGATACAAAGGCTGAATCTATAGTTTTTAGAATTTTTGTTTGTCTGTCTGTTACCGCATCACAGAAAAACCACCGGAGGGATTTTTGATGAAACTTGGTATGTTGATAGCTGGTTATCCAGGTCAACATATAGGATACTTTTTACCGCGGGAAAATATATCATTTCCGAGAAGAAAATCAAAAACGGCAAAGTAAGAGTATACTAATATTATGTAAAACCTAAGAATTCGGTCTTTGGTCATCGGAACGCAGGCAGAGCCGCGGGCAATGCTAGTAAAATATAATAGCCAACATAAAAACAATGTTTTATTTCACGAACAAGTTTAAATTTTAATAAGTAAAGTAGATATTGTCAGTTTTTTTTATTTCACTGACAACGTAGACGTTATATATTATTCAATTTCGCTTAGGTATCAGAAATCGCGTTAGATTATCTTATCTTTTTCGATATTGTTTTATGTTTATTATTTAAAACAATAATAAATATCGAAATGCCTACATCATATTTATTCATAGATTATCTGCTCGCATACCTAGAAGTCGATCAATAACACCTTAAAAACGAAGTTCTTTCTAAGTGGAATGCCTTACAAATGGGTCATCACGCCTATTTCGTAGTGACACGTACCGAATGCAATACCAAGAACTGTGTATGAATCGAGAACTAAAATATTATTCAACAATATATTCCAGAAAAACAATAATTAAACAATGGCGGATTTATTGGCTTCAATTTCCTATGATGACACATAATATGTAATGTTGTCATAACTTCAAAATAATAGGTTTTTCGGGTGATTACATACCAAAAAATAATTGTTAATTTAAATATAATGCCAAAGTTGTTTGTTTTTTACTATACCTAATGATTCTGACAGGGAAAATAGTAATGGAATATTTTTTAAGTGCGTAGAGCATATCTATTTGAGGTAAAACTTTCGTTTACACATACGTCTCAAGATTCCAGTCAGTCAATTAAAACTTTTAAAATACGCTTCAGAACAGTGATGTTTCGTCATAATTCCCTTTTCTATTTTAGCTACACGGAAGATGAACGCGGTCATCGAACCCTGGACATGCGCTCTTCCTTCCTATCTAGGCAATTATGTTTATCGATTTTTTGCTACCATTATCATAAAGAGTTTGAGGCGAATGTACTGAAACATACTGTATGATGATATTGTTTTATACATATCTATAAAATTAAATCTTCAAATCGTTTTTTTAAGTACCTATTAAAAATATGAGTAATATATTTTTGGTCCAGTATTATAAAAAAAAATCTTCACTTAAATTAAAAAGGTTAACAGGTTTTTTTTTATTCAACTAATATGAATGAATCAACAACCTTGCAGCCTACTTATTTTTTTTTCCTTGGCATAATTTGTTAGCGGCAAGTAAAAAACACCATATGGTGCGACCAGTAACGTTTTAACTTGAATTTCGAACGCGAACGTTACGAATAGAGCAATTTCATTGGTCGCTCTTTATCACAAGCGGATAACCTTGAGTGGGGTTGAACTATGCGTGCCCTAATAACGGTTTTTTAATTTTATTGCCGGCAAATGGTTGAATGTGAAAACGGCAGGTAAAAATATGAAGTTATAGAAATATTAATACATAAACAATTGAGATATTAACTATATATATTTTTAGTAGACATTTAATCGTTAGTTGGATAGTAAATAAAAAAAAATATGGACGTCAAGTTTAGCTAGTAAATTTTTAATAAAACATGAAACAGACGGCCGGCGAATAGCAATTAACACGTGGAATTTACTTGCATTAGTAACAATTAAATGTAACACAGTGTAATCTAGTTGATATATAGTCCAAATGTATAACAAAAAACACAAATTTACATAGAATTTTGCTCAATTATTTAGCTTCTACTTTAACTTTCATATCGTTAAGTAAAGAATTAATCTCGAAAGTTAAGACAAAAGAGATACGAGCATGCGCAACATACATAAGTACCGAGTTGACCACACCCAAGTAAATATTTTAATTTTCGAACTATTTTTAATTGAAAACATGAAAATATATTATTTAACATTACAAATCAATTCTAAAACTTTGAATGATACGCGGTCAAGCAAGTTTTTCTCCATGACGGCGAGGCGTCACAAAATGCCGGCCGCACATTCCGCGACATTGATTCAGTAGTAAAACAAAAGATGAACGGTATTTACCTTAGCGCCGATCTGGTTACCGCATTGGCCAGCTTGAATGTGTACGATTTCCCTCATTTTGTCAGTTGTCGAACTTAATAAATTACTTAACACTAAATATTTCTGCTCCGCACGCACCACGTACTTCCGTGGTTGCTTGAAGAATAGTCCCCTTTCGTTTCGTTCGAGCTATCCACGAAAGCATTCGGCTAGTGCTGCGCCGCGCCAGACACTTATCGATAGATTTTGCCGCATTGCGACATCTTAAAACTTTATACGTCTGTTTCAACATTTTATTTATTACTTATTAGTAAAATTTTGTTATTTTAAATTAAAAAAGTATTAATAGAGTTTTCATTTAATCCTATTAATGTATCGTCATAAACGAAGAATAAAATAATGTTGAGTACGTAAAATAATTTCACTTCATTTTGTGATGAAATATTGTTCGCTTCTTGTTGTTTTATAACTAAGTATACTGTTTGTAATGTCAAAATGACAGCGTATTAAACTTCTAAATGCATTTGAAATTATATACGGTACTTATAAGAAAAACACATTTTTTTTTTAATTTTTGTCTGCCTGTCTGTTTGTTCCGGGTAATCTCTGAAACGGCTGGACTGATTTTGACTGACTTTGACGATTTATAGGGAGCAACATAGGCTTATATTTTACTTTTATTTTAGAAAAAGAATTAGGGTTCTGCTTAAAAAAAGTAAAACGTACCTAGGGACGAACCCGAGTGAAGTGAGGGTGAGTCGCTAGTAAACTATATAATGAATAATATTTGAATGTTAATATTTTAATATTAGAAGAAATACTTTATAGTAACTCAAGTACTTTAAAAACAATATACAATTTTGTATATGGATATAAGGGATTGCTTAGATTACCAAAAAAATGGAAGAAGTTTAGACATAACTGATATTTAAAAATATATATAGTATCTCTAGTTTTATTTTCATATTTTACACCATTTTATGATAACAATGAATATTGTTTTATAAAGATGTGATAAAGAGGTACAAAATCGACATAATTGTGATTAGATTTCCGTAGTGCCTGGTTTTGGAATTGATGAAAGCAGTTTTCGACAAACAAATCAAATCAAAATATACTTTATTCAAATAGACTTTTACAAGCACTTTAGAATCGTCAATTGTACATTTTAAATTTAAATTAAATGTCAGTGTATTCAGTCCATGAGAAATCTACAATCGGCTCAAGAGGCAGTTTTGCTGAGAAAAGCCGACAGAAACTCAACAGTTGCTGTTTTTAAATGTCATTATAATTTACAATATTGCAGTATAATAATTATGTTCTTACTATAGTCACTGTTCAAATTACTTTTTTTATAGTGGTTACTTTGATAACTACTTTTTTGAACATTAGATCACTATTTTGTCATTATCAAGTGGCAATAATTTTAATTTTTAAATAAAAAATTAACTATTATAGCAGTTGAATTTCAATTTCTTCTGCGTAATACTTTTAGATGAATACTTTAAAGTTTAAACAAAAGAATCTTAATTATACAATATAATTATAATTTAATATATATCGATACCACCGTTAACACGCACATGCCTAATATCATGCCACGTTGTGATTGGTTGTTGGCGCGATTATGCCATCAATGCTACCAACATATTCGAGCCAACTTACTTTACCAATCGTTTTTTGTCTTTTTTACTTAATTCATCATTATTAATATTATAAATGAAAAAAAGTTTACTAATTGTAAATTTTAGCGTATTTTGTTTATAAATAATAAATTTTCTTTAAGTAAATAAACTGTTTTCAGTATATAATTGCGCAGATGTTTCGCCCTCGAAAGTTGGTATTGATCGCCGGCCGGCAACCTACATACAAGGGGTGGGGTCCGGAATTCTGGGCCGATATGGAGAATACAACTATGAACTAACTATATTACAAAAGTTAATTTTATTGATAATAGCGTTTAAGGTAATGTACTTATTCAAATAAAAAAAAAACTATGGTTGCAAAAGAATAATTACTCATACAAATTATTATAGAGACTTGCTTGATTCGCTCTTGATTTTCGCAATATTGGATAATATACCTATTTAATTTTATCAAAACACGAATTTTACACATGAATGACATTAAATAACATTTTTTTTAATAAGAGATAGCTGGATAACGATTTAATTTACATGTTGATTATTATTATTATACGTTTAGATTATAATTTCATAAATGTTGTATGTTTTTATGATATTATTTCCACGTTATTTTACTAGGATCATATCGTGTTTTAATCGAAAACGAGAATAAAAATAATATAAAAAACGAACAACTTAACTAAAAGACGTACGTTAAAGAACCTGAATTGTTATTTTAGTTCTCTTCTATGATATCTCAACGCCATCTGGTAATCAATATAATATTTTATACTTACCATTTTAATTAATCATTAAATATTATTAGCTTAAAATACTTAACTGTTTCAGTTATAACTTTTTTGTACATAATAGTAAATGCCTAGAGTTACCACCAATGGGCCTTGCATTCACAAAACATGCTTCATGAGGTGGTATATAATCAAAAAATGTTTATAGGTATGTAGTTTAAAATATATTTTTGTCATTATGTAACCAAAAATTGGTTTTCGTTTTATTCATTTTCGATAACTTGTTTAATTCTATAGAATATTGGTATGGAGATTTTTATTTAAATATCACATACGGCCTTCGCAAGGACTCAGGTAATGAAGTAATATTAATAATCTGTGCTCTAATACATAAAACCTCTTATAATTATAAGCTTAGCCATTTAGCAGCGAAACTAAAACCAAACAGTCAACAGACAGACCTCAGGCTTAAACAATAAAAAATACGGAACGCCGAACACGTAGAAAGCAGCGCTTGAAGCCTGAGATCGTATTTTTTAATTCAGTTGTGTAAAATACCATTCCCGGTGTTTTTCCCTCAAGGTTACGGGGCCGGGATCGGGCGATTGTGTACTGTAATAGAACTAAAAAACAAAACAAGTGATATGTCGCATGACAGACTAAAAATACAAACAAACATCGTACCTCCATTTTTTAAATCTGCTATAAATTAAAAAGTTATTAGGATTTAGTAAAGTATTTATTTTTTGACATATTTTGATAGTTTAAATAAAACTATCTTTTCGGATTTTTTCGCGGATTTATTTGGATTTTTGGTTCCCGACGTTTCGGCGATAAAAATCCAAATAAATCCGCGAAAAAATCCGAAAAGATAGTTTTATTTAAAATGTCAAATATTCGCGTCAATCTAAGAAAGTATTATATTTTGATAGCTTCGTTTCATGTTTGTTCATTGTTATAGCCACTCCATTTATCCTATTTTCGTAATCTAAGAGACAATCATACACATTATATAGAGACTTATTTTTGCATTTATAAAATTAGTTTGAATGTTAACTTACATATATTTGCAATTCAAAACATATATAAATATTGGTGGATCACCATCGCTTCGCTCGGGTTCGTCTCCAGGAAAACAAATCTATCCCACGGGAACCGTTCATTTTTCCGCGATAAAAAACAGCCCATGTGCTATTCCAGACTATAATCTATCTCTGTGCCAAACTTCACCTAGATCTGTTCAGACGGCTGGCGTGATTGAGTAATGAGTAATAAACATTCAAACATCCTAACTTTCACTATAATATTAGTAAGATTACCTATGTCAATTTTGATTAATTTTTATTTTCAAAATTCTGGCGCTTTTTGTTATGTCTTTCTGGATTAGCAATTTTATGTACATTTTTATAACATAAATAAGATAAGAATAAAATAATTTAAAAAGTCACATAATGTTATTATTACCAAAAAGGAGAGTAATGTCTTTTAATTACATATGTCATATTAGCGGCTCACGCTCGCTTCGCTTGGGTTCGCCTCTAGCAAAACAAAATCAAACCTATCCTACGGGAACCGTACATCTTTTCGGGATAAAAAGTAGCCTATGTGTTATTTCAGACTATAATCTATCTCTGTGCCAAATTTCATCCAGATATGTACAGCCGATCTGGCGTGGTAGAGTAACAAACATCCATACTCAACTTTCACATTTATAATATTAATACGGATATTATATTAATCAATTGAGTCTTAGTTGGCTTATCCTACTTAATTTTGTCACGTACTAAAAATAGATATGGCCAAGTTAGATAAGAATTAATGAATTATATTGAAGACAAATTATTATTTTAAAATTATAAAATGTATGCGGTAAATCGAGGCATCCTATGCGGTATAAAAGTTCGCAAAGGCGTATCCTGTTATCTAATAGGTTCAGACTTCAATCATATATCTAGATGAAGTTTAATATTTTTGGTAAAAGAAAAATTATAGAAAATTTTAAGTTAGTTGCGTTTTCAGATATAATAATCGCGTAGATTCGCCGTACAAAATTTTATTCCCATTTTCATCCCCTTTAGGGATGAATGATTTCTGAATAAAAAATATCCTATGTCCTTCTCAGGGTCTCAAACTATCTTCTTACAAAATTTGTTCTAAATCGGTCTAGTAGTTTTTAAGTTTCTTCGTTACAAACATACAAAAATACAAATCTTTCGTCTCTATAATAGTACCTACATAGTGTAGACAATAACGAATATAATACTTTTACTAAATCGTTGTAAATTAACTTTTTTTTTATTTTATAAGAATCCTCCTTTTTTAATTGTCTAAACAATAGATTTTTGTCAGACAGATACAGACAGACAGATAGACAGAATTACTTTTAATATTAGTTAAAGCTTGAATTAAAATAAAATACTTTATTTATTTAGCTATAATGGTTTATTTTATGTTCATTACATATAATTGGTTTATGTTTAAATAATATAAGAGGAAATTATAGTCTCGCTGATGGGTGATGACTAATCTAAAACTAATTGGATAAACAATTACTGTACTAGAGTTGTACCTCTACAATTTATATCAACAATAAAATATGTTACTTTTTACTGTTATTTCTACATAAAACCTCTTCGCTGGTACTGGCCGTGTAATTGACCAGTAAAGAAGAAAACAGCTCTTTTAACTGCTTAGCTTTTTTAAT